TTCAATTTGCCAGGTACTGTTTGGTCTTCGGTAAACGAGTCTAATAACCTAGTGCCCATGACACGATATGACTTTATTGACGGCTTGCTAGACCTGTCCCTGTCTAAAGTCAACCATGTGAAAAATTCCTTCCGCTCACTATACCTGAAGACTCCTACCACCCTACATTCGAAGTGTCAGTCGATATTGGGCCTACTGTATTGGATCGAACGGGTAGGCTTGAACCAGTCCGCTGCTTTCGTATGAAAGGCACGTTATGAAAGGACGTTATGAAAGGCACAAAAATTTGTGTCCCACTTTCTTATCCGATTAGATCTGGGAAGCCTCATTGGTTTACCAAAGAGTTATCCAGTATAAAAAATTTTAAATCAAGACTTTATAAAAAATTTCAAGAAGTTCGTTCATTCTCAATGCTATAAAAACTACCTATCTCGAGGCAGGACTCGATTTTCACAGGACCCTAAACAGTTTTACAGCTTCGTAAATAGTAAGCGTAGAACGTCCGCACATCCATCCTCGCTATCATTTCTCAATATGTCAGCAAAACCAAACTAAAACCAGCAAATCTTGACTCGTCGGCGAACCATGCCTATCTTTTTGCCAAATTTTTCCAAACAACCTATTCTCATGAAAGCTACTCTGGTCAGCCGAATCCATACAGTTTACCAAGGTCGAATGGCATTTTCAGCCCCTTGTTAAATGAAAGCTCACTGCTTCATGATCTTCGACTAGTTCAGCCGGTGTTTTCACCAGGTCCCGACGGAGTTCCCGGCTGTGTACTCAGGTACTGAGCCGACGCTCTTTGTGGACCCCTGCTTAAACTATTCACCCTATCCATTAACTCTTCATGCTTCCCCCCCATCACGAAGGAATTTTTTAATAATTCGCTCCATAAGAAAGGTAGCAAGTCTCATGCAAATATTTATAGAGGTATGTATAATTTATGCGCTATTCCTAAAATTTATATCAAATCACTTATATCTCCATCTTAGCACGAATTTATAAAGCGACGATCAACAACCAAAAATTTATTAGAGTTTACCTCTTTTATCATTAAAGGCTTTCAAGGTAACTTTCAGACGGATGTTATTTACACTGATTTCAGTAAAGCATTCGGTTTTGTAAACCATTCCCTTGTAGCACAAAAACTTGACCTTTTAGGGTTTCCGCCTAATTTTTTTAGATGGATTTCTAGCTACCTTCGTTCTAGGTCCCAAAGAGTCCTCTTCAAAAACTCCTCTTCACCTGTTAAGGTTACTTATGGAGTACCACAGGGAAGCCATCTAGGCCCCCTACTTTTCACACTCTTTATTAATCAACTGCCTTCAGTATTAACAAATTCTCGAGTGCTCCAGTATAAGTACATTTCATTTCATTCTCGCTTGCAATCCGATCTCAATAAATTTCAGTCATAGTGTTGTGCAAATATGTTACACCTTAGTGCCTCGAAATGCAAAGTAATGACATTTCATCGCTCCAGCCCCTTTTTGGCTATTTGTAGCCTCTGGGGTGGTTCTCTTGAGAGAATTTCTTGGTTGATGATCTTGGTGTTAAACTAGACCCCAACTTAAAGTTTTCTGAACACATTTCTACCATGGTAAATAAGGACTGCTTGGGACTGCCCCTATATAACGAAGACTCTATATCTCGCTTGTTCGTCCGATTTTAGAGAACGGCTCTTGTGTATGGTGCCCCCAGTACAAAGTACACCAAGACCGTATAGAATCAGTCCAGAAAAACTTTTTACTTTTTGCTCTGCGTGGCCTTAACTGGGGTGCAGGTGTGAGACTGCCATCTTACCCTCGTAGATTGCTTTTAATAAACCTTCCCACCTAAGTTAATCGTAGAAAAATGCTTGGTGTGATTTTTATGCACAAGCTGATCAAGGTTGAGCAGTATAAAGTTTACGATTCCAATAAGATCTACTAGAAAATTTATTACTTTAGGTATCTTTGCATGTTTAGCTATTTTAGTTCAGCTCTAATTTTCATCGAATATTAGTCTAAACCCTATCTTTCGTGCACGTTCGCGATCGCTTCGGTTGCACGCGTCGCGCGTCATGTAGCAGCGCCTTTTGGTGGGTAGGTGGGCTGCGTTTCTGCCTGGGTACCACGCGTAACAGGCTTCGGCTTGGTGTCCCATGGGCCACTTGATGGTGCAGTCATTGCATTTCAACGTCCAGATAAGAACGTTTGAGTTGGACACTAAGATACGTTGTGAGGGAGAGAGAGGCAAGGAAGTCGGGCACGAGAAAATGTTTTCTTTATTCTGGCTATAATAATGACCCGTTCACAAACATTTGGTTCTGAAACCATCTGATATCTGGTGGATAAGACAAGTCATTATATTTATGCGATTCGGTTTTCTCGTATGTTCAAAATGTTAGATTGTAAGGAATCTTGCAATTTGAAGATGCAAAATTTGAAATACAATTGATAAATTCGATATCACAAGAGTCTGCGAGCAAAATCCAGCTATTCTAGCTCTTGCAACGATCGGATCAATGCTAAAGCTAGAATGAAGAAAACAGCGGGTTCTGCAGTTTCATAGGAATCAAGGCAAGGCGGATTGCCCCGAAGGCAAACGCACGAGCCAGCAGAGGGACTTAGTAATGACCCCACCCATATCTTCTCCCCAGACGCAAACTATGTGACAATTGGAATGCCTCTAAGAAATCCTACATCAAGCAAAAGTTGCATCTGATGTTTTTAGCATGAGGGTAACTTCGCCTCTGTACAAAGCCTTAATCCAAAAACCATGGGTAAGCAGCGAGAAAGTCTAGGAGCTAATTCAAAAAACGGTGGGCAATACAGAAAATATTTGAGTACCTTATTGAGCACATTTATAGGGGATGCCACAGCAAACTCTAGAGATTTTGACACAGGATCACAAAAGGTTTAACAAAAAAAAAATATGTATAATTAAAAATATTTTAAATTTAAATATTTTTTTATAAGTGATAATAATAATGATTTTTGAAGCCCCAGCTGAATCAAAAAAGTTTGATATCGTTCCTTCTTAAAAATAGTAGGCTTTGTTCCTTAGTGTTACCTATACCTGCACGAATGTCGTGTTCATACCAAAGGTAGGGAAAAACGACTTCCAAATGCAAAAGTTAAGCAGACCAGAAAAAACTTGGAAAATCATAGACGAACATTAAGAGTTGTTAATTTTTCAAAATTTAACATTTTATTTACGCATTAAACCAAACAAACTTCTTGTGTTAGATTTGGGGCATTAATGTGGTTTAATGACTTTATTTTTCTATAGAAATTTTCTTTAAACAATTAAAACAACTGTATTTTTTTATGTTTTTTAAGAAGTGGCGCTTTTTTTTTTCCAGGGACCGTAATCATTATAATCTGTTGGAAGCTGCCGAGCTTTTTCGGCAACTCTGACTCTACATTTACAAATAATATAATCCGTTGGTAAATTTAATATTTTTATTGTTCGACCGGTTTTTACAATGTGTGTGGCCGTGGCCGTGAACTACGATTCGATGCGATGCGTTCAACAATAATTATCACTGCCGCGAGAACAGGGCGATGCAATGCAACATAGGCAGTAAGAGTACATGTGTGTGTGTGCGTGTACCCACTGAGAGAGCGATTTACAATTAGCGCGACAGTAGTTAACTCAAGAGCTTCTGTAAAAGAGATACATGCGACTAAACGATTTGAATGTCTTAAAATTTATTAAAGGCTGCTGCTCCGAGCATACTCCCCCACGTTAAAATGACAGGGCTTTTAACAGGAACCCCAACGGTTAGGACGCACAGCTTGTTGATAGCTCGACGAGTGGTTCCAGATGTTGTCCTCAGGATGGAAACTCACGCAGCCCCATCAGCTCCAGCGAAGTGTTCGTCCTTGTACGCCATTTTGCACGTTGTTGGAGCAGAGTCAAGTACTCCTCACTTCAACGCTTCCAAAAGATCTGTTGGGCACAGGCGACTCGTTGCCAGCAATCTAGTCTATTAAAGTTTAGACCCGTAACGTCTGGCTCGGGTAACTCCATCAGCGGACGACCAATTAGAAAATGGCCTGGTGTAAGGACGCCAAGATCTTCAGGGTTTTCTGAAATTTCGGGAAGAGGACGAGAATTTATTATTGCCTGGATTTGGCAGACCAATGTCCGCAGCTCGTCAAAGCCAAAGAGTGACGATTCCATGGAGCGATAGAAATGCTGCTTGGCCATCTTCACTGCTGCCTCTCATAAGCCCCGAAGTGGGGCGAGCGAGGCGTTATAAATCTCCAATCGAAGCCATTTTTGATGCAATGATTATGTACTGCAGCACGATGCTTCTCGCTCATGAACTGCCGCCGAAGGTCCTTCAACTCGTTCCTTGCGCCCACAAAATTGGTGGCATTGTCCGACCAAATACATCGGGGAATGACGCGCGTGGCAACGAAGCGTATCCAGCAGTTGTGAGGTCCTTCACTAATTCCAACCAGACGGCCTTTGTAGTCGTTCGACTGCGCTCATCTGGCTTGTAATAGATAGGACCGCAGTAGTCGATTCCAGTTACGTAGGCGAATCCTGCACTCGATCCTTCTGTAGGTCAGCCATGATGTGCTCTACAAGACGAGGTCTGGATCTGCAGCAGATGATGCATTTCCGCAACGCCCGAGCGACAGTTTTCATGCCGCCGATGGGCCAGAACTGCAAGCGAATCGATCCTGGTAGCGACTGCGGATCAGCATGATGATGATGATGCGTAATGACGGCAAACGTCAACGGATGATGCCTGAGCAAAATGAATGAGTTTATGTGCTTAAACGAAAGCAAGATGTCGACACGCTCAGACGACAGCAATACACGAAGTCTAATTTCCGGGAGACTGACTTCGGGCGAGCAACGTTTAGGTCAACTACTTTTTTCGCCTTGCAAGATAGAAGGTCCACAAACTAGACTACAAGACCTCCCGAGGCGCTGCTCCTTTTGACAGAATGTCATCCGGGTTCATTTCAGTTGGCACATAGCGCCAATCCATGCCCCTCGTAAGTTGCTGTATTGCAGAAATCTTGTTGTTTCCCCCGAAAAATATTAACCGTATGGACCTTTGGGCCAGATGGATCGCGAGAAGGGTCAAGCACTGCTACTGCCAGAAAGACTCACTCCATACTGAGCCGCACGGATACCGTAGTCGACACAGACTCGGACATGCTCTCGGTCAGCAGGACGGAGGAAGGAACTTCGCTCGCCGGAACTAGGCACGTGCTCCCGCACGGAGGCGGACATCCTCTATCCGAGATTCGGGAAGCTGGCTTGGGGCGTAGGTAGCGTCTACCTACGTCTCAAAAAGCGCCACCCAGAGGACAAAGACGTGCGCACCCTGCAGGCAGGCGAGGTGGAGAAGGACCTTGGTCTGGAGTCCATCGTGGAGGGCGCCCAGGGTCTTGCGCTGGACGACTCAGAGGAAGAGGACGGTGACCTGACGGTGATAGTCAATCCTTCGAGAGAAGTTGAGCCAGCCACATAAAAGTAAAGCCGCGTCTACGGAGCTCCTCATTGCCAGGCACGTCGACATAGCTTTGGTCTAGGAGCCATGGATTGCCTCGGGCAATGCAGTGTCAGGAATAAAGCCCTCAAATTATAATCTATTCCACCCACCATCGGTAGGCAGGAACAGAACCGCCGTACTCTTACGAAAGGGTATCCATGCTTAACTTATGTCTCAATACAGCACTGACTGCGGTGATGCTTGAAAGCGAGGATAAGCACCTTATGGGTGCTTCCTGCTACATGGCTAGCTCCACCGGAAGAGCTAAGGAGTCTGGTGGCGGAAGACAGCCCGAAAGACCAGCAACTTCCCGTTGGTACGGACGGCAATACCCACCACAGCGTCTGGGGAAGCCCTGATATCAACCACAGAGGTGAGTCAGTCCTTAACTTTATATTACACTACTCGACACGAGTTTTCCTCCAGGAACAAAACCAACTTTTTCTAAAAGACTTAGGGCTTAGAAATGGTTTGATGATATATATTTTTTTTTCAATGGCAGAACTTTTTTTTTAAGAATTTTTGAATTCTGGTATTTTTTTCTAAAGCTTTTTTCAGAGGTAGCGCTTGTTTTTTTCACATAACTCTAGTATCTTACGTTTGGTTGTTAAGAACTTTGCTACTTTGAAAAGATATTTAAAACAGCTACAAGGTAAGCCCAAACACTTTGTGATTTTAGCTTACCGTCTGGGAAATATAAAGCATTGAAATGCAAAAATGATGACATTTGCTACACGTGGGGGAGGAATGAACCTACGTAGGTCCCACCTCGTCTAACGCGCTAACACTCGTAACGGGATAGAGTACTTTGGTATCTGGCTGGAGATTCCTTGAAAGACCATCAGATAATAACTACATTAAGTTCAAGTGCGAATTCAAACACTCTCCGCAGATAACTGTCTATAGAAACCCCCAGAACAGAAACTGGGAAAATTTACAAAAACCCCCCAATAGATCTCATATCCTCTAAGAGAATCCACTGGGCTATAGACTCCTTTGCAAGTTTAAAAGCACCTCGAAGGAATATTTCCAGCCATGTAGCCTTACCTCTTTTCTACTCAAAACACTAGAAGAGCTGTTGGATCTACACATCAGGAACTATTTGGAGAGACTGATGTCAAACGAACCAGCATGCCTATACCAAAGGGAAATCGGTGGAGACGGCACTGCATTCGTTAGTAGCCATCATTAAGAAAGCCCTGATATCAACGACAGAGGTGAGTCAGTCCTAGACTTTATATTACACTACACAACAAAATTGAACTTTTTATATAGGCTGTGAACCAAAATGACTTTTTCTGATAGATTTCGGGATTTAAAAATGTTTGTAGTACTTTATTTTTTTTTATGGTGTAATTTTTTTTTAAGAATTTTTAAAATCTGGTATTTTTTTCATGGTTATTTTCAGAGGTAGTGCTTCTATTTTTCACATAACTTAAGCCATCTTATATCTGGTTGCATAGAACTTTGCAGTTCTGAAAAGCAAACAAATGTCAGCTTGGCCAAGAATTTTTTTTTTCGACTTTTCCAGAGTTTCTTAAATCAAAATTTCGATACCGCAAAAAATTATGAAATTTGAATTTGAAAGCTTAATATCTTCCAGGCGTTAAGCTGCAGAGTCCGATTTATAGCTGCATTTATCAGCTTTTCAGAACTGCAAAGTTCTATGCAACCAGATAAAAGATACTTAAGTTATGTGAGAAATAGAAGCACTACCTCTAAAATAAACAAAAAAAAAAAACAGATTTTACAAAATTCTTAAAAAAACTAAACCATAAGTCGTTAAAAATTTGTAAACCCCGAAATCTTTAAGAAAAAGTCATTTTGGGCCACAGCCTAATTGTCGTGTTGACTAGTGTTATCAACTAACCTTGACGTTTGCTACACGTGTATGCTCTAGGAGTTTTTGTAGACATATCCGGAGCAGTCAACAACGTTAGCACGAACGCTATAATGGATGGCCTAGAAGCGACCCAGCAATCAACATCTGTATAAAGAACCTTCTAAATTGCAGACGAGTGCAATCAGAGTGACGACATAAGCATAATTATTACGGCAGTATGTCCATCGACCCTCAGCTCTATAATATAATCCACACCCAGGGAGATATGTGAGTAGGTGGAAAAAGTAGGACTCAGTATGAACGCGGACAAGACGGACCTCATCCTCTTTACCTAGAGACAGACACAAGGTGCCGGCATGGATCCCCCCGAAAATCGACAGAACCAGGCTGGCCTGGTGGTGGCAGGCTACTGAAAAGAAAACATACAAGTGTATGGAGAGAACTCAGCGACAGGCACTGATCTGCATCACGGGAGCGCTGAAGTCAACCCCAACAAAAGCACTCGAAACCATACTCGGAATTGAGCCCCTGGACATCCACGCATCAGGCAACATGTCGCAGCAAGGATTCGGGTACGGTTCAATTGGCCGAGACATGATCAGTATATCAGACTACATGATCCCCCGAACTTACCTGGATGTCCAAAAAACCTCATACATGGGACATGACGACTGGAAAGAGGGTCGGGAACAGACTCAACACATCAACATCTACACAGACAGCTCCAAAATCAAAGGAGGAGTAGGAGCGGGCATATACTGTAATGACCCTGAGATAAGGCTGTCCTATAAGCTACCGGACCAATGCAGCATATTCTTGGCGGAAATCTTCGCCATACGGAAAGCGGCGGAGGTTGTTCAGTCTACGGATCGTCCAAACGACATTTTCAACCTGTTCATGGACAGCCAGGCGGCGATAATATCTATGAAGTCGTGAGCGGTCAGTTTCAAAAAATTTCTCAGCCCCTACTTACTGCACCTACCACGGAAGGACTGCAGAATGTAAGTGGGAATACTTACAGGTCACTGTCTGGCTGCGGCATATGCAGTAAAACTAGGCATCACCAACAGTGCCAGCAGCCCTGGAAGATGCCTCCAAGAGGACGCCAAGGGAACTGCTTGTCTTTGCTAAAAATACCTTGATCCTCAAGGACATTAAAACCTCCTAAATATACTCGAGAAGGTTCATACACCCCCATCCGGACAACTAAGGGTAATATTGGCCTATGCGTGCCTCGTGAAGGCCTTCCAAAATATACCAGCCTTACCTAACCTGTTAATAACTTTCCATAATAATAATGTTTGAGCTAAAAAAATAAAACTCAAATATAGCGATTCAATTTTGAGTTTTATTTTTTCGCTCAAAAATAAAACTCAAATTTTAATAATGAAAATATCATGGGGAACTGAGAAAAAATGTACACATATCCTTACTAATTGAGTCAAGTTTTTTTTTTATTATGTAGGTTTATTGTAACAATTATCACAGATAATAAAGTACAATTACTTAACGTACTGTTACTGTTGATTAGCAACTTTTGTTAAGGGTCAAGGACAATTTCTATTTACAATTTACTATTTTAAGTTGAGTGCGGGACCAACGGACGAAAACGGAGATTGTGCAACAATAATTTATATGTTCCTGGTGGCCAAGTCGGACGGATGGATGCGGTTTAACCTTCGCCTGGTTCTACTCCTTACCAATCTTCTAGCGAGGACGTTCGGGTGGCTCCTTAGTTAAGTCAGGTATCTTGTGGCTTGCTCGTTAATAATGTTACCCACTGAGGGAACTCCAAAGTCTTTGGCGATGTCTCTGTTCCCAACATACCATTCAGCACCGCAGATCTTTCGGAGGAACTTGCCATAGACCTGGATGCCATACCTCCATGCAGGCGCCAGGATTACCTTATATATGCGGATCTTGTTGGCTTCTCAAACCTTTTAAGGTACCGATGGAGGTTGTCCGTGGCGTCCTAAACACAGTTGGCCCTTGACAGTACTGCTGTGTCGTCGGCAAAAGTGCCAAGTTTCACATCGATTGGCTGGGACGTATGGTCAACGCTAGCTATAGGCATATCGTGCCTGAAAGGGCTGTACAGCGTTGCCCCTAGCACGCTGTCATGCGGGACTCCGGCTTCAATCACCTTCACCGTGGAAACTGCTCCGATCTGTGCGACTTGGAACGTTCTGTTCTTTAGGAAGATTCCAATTATCAGGAAGAGCTGGGGGTTTATCAGGGGTTTTATCTTCGCAAGTAATCTGCCGTGCCAAACTCTTTCGAATGCTTGCTGGGTGTACAGGTACGCTGCTACAACGTACTGCTTCTTGTGGAAGCAATCCAGGATATGCTATACCACCCTATGCAGCTGCTCCGGAGTACCATGCCTCAGCCTGAACCCAAATTGGTGATTAGAGATAGCTCGATTTTAGGATGGTATGCCCAATAATCTGTGAAGAATTCTGCGTTCCAGGAGCTTCCCAAAAGTGGGGAGCAGGCTGATTGGCCTGTAATTGGCCAGGTCGTCCGGGGATTTGCCAGGTTTATGAAGCATGACAACATGCGCGACTTTCCATGCTTTGGGGAAGTGTCCCAACATTCAGTATTTGTAACAGGTACAAAAGCACTCTGAGTGGCAGCGCTTTTGCCACTCAGTTATCTATATTATCAAACACCATAAACATGTTTTTAGGAAAAACACCTTTTTTTTAAATAAGACTTATATTTTTACCCGTACTCGAAGATTTAAGGGGTATATTAGATTTGTGGTAAAAGATGATGTTTGCAACGCAGAAAAGGAAACGTTTCCGACCCCGATATATATTCTTGATCAGCATCAATAGCCGAGTCGATATAGCCATGTCCGTCTGTCCGTCTTGATGAGCGCCTAGATCTCAAAGACTATAAGAGCTGGAGCAACCAAATTTAGTTTCCAGAGTCATGTGTGATCACACTGCTACAATTGTATTTCAAAATTTCGCACCGACCGGGCGATGAGTAACATTTTTAAAAATATTTTTGTATTTTGGAATATATTACAACGTACAACGTAACTTGTGAAAGACGTGCTAGTGCGGAGCTCCGCCAATGCATACATTTTTCCAAGAAGTCTGCAAATAATAAAAGATCAGCTGTTGGAAAATCCAAGCATAAGGTGCTTACCAACACCCGACAACTGACACCGACTCTCCAACTGGCCGGGCCGTGGATAAAAACAACTTTATATTTTTGTCGAAATCCATCATCTTAAAATCACTCAAATTTGGCTCACGTGAGGAAAGGAGACGAGGAAAAGCGCGAAATAAAAATTTTTCACTCAGCGTGTGAAGGAGAAAACAATTGCACTTTGCATTAGAGGTAACATTAGACAGCTGTCCAGCGATTGATACAGATATCGGAAAAGCTTGTCACAAATTCCACCAGAGGGCGCTCGCTCACCACATCAGATCCGTTGATCGGCAAAGCAGTAACGGTGTTACAACTTTCAAGCAGTTGTTCAGTTAGAAGTTTGAAATGCCACCAGTTACTAAGCGAGTGCGTGAAAACACCGACACTGACCTCAAATCAGCACAAAAAGCTGATTCTCTGTCGCCAAGCCTTCTGCAACTATTGGACAAACGCCTAAAGGAGCAGACGGATCTCATTGCAACAAAAATGGAAGAGTGCGAAAATCGGTTATGTGATTTATTAGCCGAAAAAATAGGCACTCTAACTGGACAAATAAAGCAGCTTAGCGACCGGGTGGAGTTCCTTGAAAAGGAGTTGGGCGAGGCTTGAGGAATAACGCAAAGAGTCGCCGATCTAGAAGCTAAGCTAAGTCACAAGCTATCTGTGCAAGAAAATGCAAACATCGCCTGCGATTTGCGCATTCACGGTGTCCCCTTTGTTGAAGGCGAAAAATTGAAGCATATTTTCAACACCCTATGCTTCAATTTAAATTTAACCCCAGCGCCTACCATTAAGGACATCTACCGCATGGGAAAAGGACGGAACCAACCACAGTCAATAGTTGATCCGGTAATAATCGTCAAGCTCGATCACTTAAGTGATAAGGCTGCGCTGCTCAGAGCAATTGGCACGCTAAGGCGCGAAACGCAGCAAACACTGACCCTCCAGCAACTTGGATTGGACTCCCCGGCCCCCGTTTATGTCAACGAGCAATTAACGAAGGAAAACTATTTGGTTTTCAGGGAAGCTATGAAGCTGAAAAAGGCTAGGAAACTAACGGCTGTGTTCACGCGAAGAGGAGTAGTACATGTCAGGGCAAGCCAAAACGGTGAAATCATTGTTCTAGAAAACATGAACCACCTTTCCATGATACCAACTTGTTCCTTTCGCCATCAAGAAGGAGAGCAGCAGTGACGCAGAAATGATAGCAAGTAAAATTAATAATACTTTACCAGTAGTTTTAATTAAAATATGTGTTTTTAGATGTGTTTTTAGATTTTTTCCTGTTCTTGCGCTGTTGAATATTACTTCATTTGAACATTTAAAATGGGTGATTCCACAGAAAGCATAAATCCTAATACCCATGGTTTGCTAAGAATTCTGGTGAAGCAAAGATCTGGCCTAAAAATTTGCCATATTAATGCACAAAGCCTGCCAAAGAAAATAGAAGAGTTCAGATATATGTTTACCGATTCTAAAATAGATGTTATTTGTGTGTCTGAAACTTGGTTCGTCTCTGAATGTAGTGATTTGTTAATTGCATGTAGTGGTTACAATGTTTTTCGTTCAGATCGTATTGGCCATGCGGGTGGCGTTGCAATTTACACAAGAAAAAATATCCTGACTAAAATTGTCTGCAAACAGCCCCCAGAAAGTGAACTCGAATATATTTTTGTAAAACTGATCGACACAAAAAGCTCAAATAAATTACTACTAGGATGCATTTATCGACCTAATCAGAACATTGACTATTCCGAATTGACAACTAAAATATCTGACATATCCCTTACATATACTGATATAATTCTGACTGGAGATTTTAACTGTGATATATTCAGACAAAGTCACTTGACAGAACATATGGAAGCATTAGGACTGAACTTGGTAAACTCTACGGTGGCCACACACTATACAAAAACCCGAAATACTTTACTTGACTTATTTTTTGTGAATGTTAAAACAAAGATAATGTTATACGATCAACTTTCAGTACCTGGATATTCAAAACATGACTTATTATTTTTGACCTATGACTTTAATCTTGACGAAAATGACCCTCCCATATTCTACAGAGACTTCAAAAATATTGACTTTGCAAAGCTTGACATTGACATTAACCTACTTGACTGGCACTCTATATATGACCAATTATCCGTTAACACTCAACTTGACCAGCTTCAGTTTAATATTAATTACCTCTTTAATCAGAATGTTCCGCTAAAGAGAGCAACTGCCAATCGAAAAGCAAATCCTTGGTTCTCAAATGACCTAAAACTAGGAATTAAAAAAAGAAACCAAGCTTATCATAAGTGGAAGAGATACAAGACTGAAACTCATTTTAAAATTTACCAAGAAAATAGACAGAATGTGACAAAGAGAATTATCGAAGCTAAAAAATCGTACTATACAGTAACACTTAACGAAGCAATCACTTCTAAACAAAAATGGCAAGCAATAAAAAGTATAGGGATAGGGAAACAACAATCTGTGGCCCAAGCAAATATTAATGTTGAAGAACTAAATATAAAATTTTCGCAACCTCCAGTGCCTGTCACTAGAAACAATACAAGACTGAGCTCCGTACCTGCCAGTCATACATTTCCAGACTTTAACTTTATCAGCGTGAGTCCGAGAGATGCCCTTGACTGTATTTTGAAAATAAAGTCCACCGCAACTGGTCTAGATAATATGAACCCCAAATTTCTCAAACTTATACTCCCATATATTATAATGCCAATTACCCATATATTCAATACTGCTCTAATGACGTCAACGTTCCCTGAAAAATGGAAAGAAGCTAAAATCATACCCATCCCAAAATCAAATTCAAAAGATTATAGACCTATTTCAATTCTCCCAATGCTATCGAAAGCCTTTGAAAGCTTAATGGCAAAACAGATCAGTGACTATCTGACAGAGCACAAAATACTAAATGATAATCAGTCTGGATTTAGGAGAAATAGAAGCTGTACAACAGCCATTATAAAAATAGTAGAGGATATACGAGAACAAATGGATGAGGGCAAAATAACATTCCTGACACTACTTGACTTTAGCAAGGCCTTTGACACCGTTGATCATGCAATTCTGGTCGAAAAACTACACAATGAGTGCAACTTCTCTCCAACGGCTGTAAAACTAATGACCTCATACCTGTGCAATAGATGTCAAACAGTTGTCACAACAACTGCTAAGTCAGCGTCTTTATTTGTTAAACGTGGTGTACCCCAAGGATCAGTTCTTGGACCATTGTTATTCGTTATATATGTTAACGATCTGCCATCTGTTTTGTCTGAGTCTAGTTGTCATATGT